TGAATTTGAACACTACTATAAAAATCTACTGGTTATTATTAGTGTGTCTTTTAAGTTTTGATTTTATATAATAATTGTACGGCATAAACTTATAAAAGACATGGCAAAAAACGTGAATGCTATGAGAATAATATCAATTTTTATTATTGCATCATATTAAACTGCTCTACATAAGAGCCCTTTGAAGCAAATGAAGGCCTCATTTTATGGCATAAAACCTATGTAATGATGTGCCTATGACTTGCTTCAATTTCATAGACTGATTGGGAAGCCGCCCTTTCAACACTTTGTGAGTGTGAAGGCAAATCAGGCAACTCTAATTTTGTCCCACTCATTGATGACTCCAGAAGTTCATAATCAAAAAATTCCACTTTGAATCCAGGCTCAAAAACTCCATTTTGGGACAGGTCAATCAACTGAGACCAATGTATTGCATCAAAATTTATCTTTGATATTTTTTTAACCTCTTTCTGGTTGGAAAAAATTAAAAAAATTAAATCAAAATAAAAAAATAAACTTAATTGTCTTAATTTTTATAATGAAATGAGGATAGTACTTTAAAATGAAACTATAAATCAATGAAATCATTTTAATCAATATTATGTGAATATTACCTCATGGCTAAAATTTTTTTATAGCTTCTTCCCTCACTTACAGTTCATCTGATTTCAGCAATGCATACAACATATTTTCTGGTAGGAGACCAAAATCATTATGTTGAATATTTTCAAATGCAGTCTCCTGAATTTCAGGGGGTAGTTCCTTAATTCTTTGCAACATATTGAAAATATACAATTGTTGGTTATGAAATTTATTGTCCCTTTTAATTTCAAACCAGCTAACTGCATACATTCCAACAATAAACTGGATAAGGCTGTGTAGTTTGGGAAATGTTTTTAGGCTAAATGCCTCGAGTCCACAAACACATTAGTCTGGTGGCTAACGTCAACCAGCTTGCTTGATTTAAGGGCCCAATTTTCCATGCAGCATATCTAAGGTTGACTTTCCCTAGTGAAAATCCCTACTGCCTATTCTAAAAGAAGTATCTGAACACTACTCAAATCAACTATCTAGAGGACTAACTATGGGTACAAATTTGACCTGGGGCAAATTATGATACACAATCTTCCAAGTGAACCAATAAAAGATGCTGGACATCTTGTGTTGCGCTCAATGTGCTTAAAAACAGCTCTGAACGGAAGCTCATTTTTATGTAGAGAGCAACCAATGTGTGTCATTTTTTTTTTATTTGTTTCTCTAGAACTGTAACTAACCTAGCTTCACAGCCAGTATTTGTATGGGTGTTGTCCAGTAAAACAGCCTTTGGAGTATCAACACTGTTTTCTCCTCCAAAACACTAGCAACCTCCTTTGCTAGAACAGCACCAGTATTAGTGATAACTCTGAGTGAAGTATTTTCCACTTTCACCACAACCCATCTCCTTTATGAATGTCAAATGGTGTTCTGTTCCATCTGTTTTCTTTCCATCTGCCTCCACAATCTCTTTATCTATATAAACGTATTTTTGTCATGCCTTCCGTCAACAACAATACAAATAAATTTTTCTGCTTTATCAGTGTGTTTTTGATGGGCATTTTATTTGGTCATTCTTTTGCATGGTCTATTTTAGACTTATCCAAAATTATGTCTTCAATATTAACACTTTGTTTGAGAAGGCCCATAGCCTTCAAATCTAAAAGAAAGGCATTTGCAAGGCTTGCTCCTAAGTTTGATGAACGATCACCCCTGATCAACTCGGTAGCATACGGAGGAATTTTTAAAAGGCTGTAAAGTTTGTAAACTAAACACCCTTGGAATGTCTGGCAGGCTCATATGCATCATATATTTCATCGCTATTTGATGACTGGAAAGAATAACATCCTGATCATAAGATGTGGAGGCAAAGGAGATGAATAAATTTGTTTTTGTCTTTCTCCTTCCACTACACTCTTTTGGGGTTTCTGAATGGCAGTTTTATCAACAGGTCCAAGTTGGAAACTACTCTTGGGTCCTATTTTGGCCCTCTGGTCTGTTAAATATTCTCTGTCTTCCACTGGTAACTGAAATATTGAATTTTGAAATAGCAAAGTTTAAGTTTGAACAAGTACTTTTTAGAAAATAACTATACTGGATGATTTGTTGAAAAATAGGTGGCTATGTTTTACTTTTTTTATCTAATGGACAAAAAGTGGTCCTCCAAATTTTGTAGCAATATAACACTGAGTAGAAAGTACAGTTCGTTTTCCAACCATTTTTATAAAAATATCTGAAAAAAAAATGTTTATTCTGTTATAAAAAATTAAACAAATTGAATTATAAATTCCAAAGTAAAATAAAAAAAAAAATGGAAACATATAATAAAAGATGAAATAAATAAGTATGTATTTACTTACCTTACGAAATAAATGTAAATCACTTAACTTACACTCATGCAAAAAAAATAAACTTGCGAATGAAAAATAATGTCTTCAGAAATAAATAAAAATAATTAAATATCACAGTGAATATAAAGTTCTTTCTTTTAATAATTAAGTTTATTAAAATAAAAAAGGAACTGACTTAATAATTATTTTTGTGTTTTAAATCAGCTCGATAAACTCGAAACAAATGTAAACAAAAACACATGGAATGCTAAAGATATTTCCGGTGCTGACTGAAAAAAATTAACAGCCTAAAACAAGCTCGAATTTGTTTATAGTTTATAGAATCTTAAATTAAATATTTTTGTAGTGTTTGCTTTTTAATTTATTTTTCTTTAATTTACCCAGAACTGCATGATTTTGAATAAAACAACATTTTTTAAGGCTATTTTCTAATTTTTTTTCTTCAAAACCCGGTGTTAATTTGACCCACTTATCTTTTCGATTAACACCGGACGAAATTCAGAATATTCGATTATGTTACTAAATGCATTTGCGCAAAAATTGGTAAATTTTTAGAGAAAAATATTTTGTGCAGTTATTATTTATGTTAATTAGCAACTTTCTCTGGGTAGAGTTAGTAGTTGTGGTTTCAAAATTGACCTACCCTACTGGGCATGCATCTGTTTTGGGAAAAATGTTCATGTCTCTAACAGCCAGCTAAATGCATTTTGGCTATTATAACTCTGAAGCAACATTAGCGTTCGTCTACAGGTTTATTAACCATCAAGAAAGGATAAAACTGAAAATGGAATAAAACAAAGCTTCAGCAAAAATGAAAACAATATAAAAAACAAGGAACTGTTAGCAGGGGCCAGGTTCTAATATAATGTAGAGAGCAAAAAGCTTAAAGGATCATTCATAGTTCTTTTAGAAAGGGTTATAAAAAGGTAGAAATGCTAGGAATGAACTTGAAGAGTAAAAATTACAAGTAGGAATGGGGGAAAATGAGCAAGATGAAATTAAGGCTTGCACATGATAGCAAAAGTTGGTAACGGTCAATAAAGAACCCTGAGTCAAATTAAGTAACACTGGGTCAAATACTACAGAAAGTAAACAAATAAAACATAAGTATATACTAAGTGAGGGAAAAGGTTGCAGTTCTTGGAATATCAGAGATATTTAGAGGGATTGCATACTGAATCAGATATAGTGCTTTTACTAGAAGCTGGTCCAAGCCAGAAGTAATTGGACGAAGACGGGTCTAAAATCATTCCTTAAAAAAAACAAGGGGGTCACTAAGGGAGATAAATGACAGGAACTATACTAATGCAGAACAGAACAAGTGCTATATATATATATATATATATGTCGGTTGTATGGATATGAGTTTGTGACCCTGGGGTTCATGCTTTTGCGATCCTGATTGTCTGATGATCGCGAAAGTTTGAAACCCAGAGTCACAAACTTGTATTCATACAACTGAATATGTTAGCTCTACCACTATTATTGAGCACTTTCTAATAAGTATTGCACATATAAAATAATATATATAGAAAAATATATATATAATCATCCCTTTGACTTTTGTTATCATGTGGAGAGTGTCTGAATGCAGAAGCCACACTGAATCTCCTCCACGATGGTCTATCAACGACAGCCATCAGCAATACTCCTATAGTCATATTTGTCCATTGTTTGACATTGTCCAACCAGTTTTGTGTTGGCATCCTCTCTTATGTCCACTTTCAACAGTGCCTTCATGATGGTCTTGCTCAGTCTGTCGTACCTTGTAATGTGTCCGAAGCATGCCAATTTTCCCCATTTGATAATGGTAAGAAGAGGGTTTTGGTGTCCCACAAAACTTTCAACCATTTTCTGCACAAATTCATTGTTTTTTGGGGGTTTTTTTTGTTCCCAGTAGAATAAACCAAGGAGTTTTCTTATGAATTTGTTCTCAAACACTTGGATCTTTCTTTCTCTTTCTACCAACAGTATCCGCTTTTCACATCCATATAGGAGAATAAAGACTACCAACAATTTGTACAATCTGTAGTTTGTTTGAAAGTTTGCTCCTCCATATTCTTGCCAATTTGGCCATCACTGCCATGGCTGCGGCAATCTCTGTGCAGATTTCAGAGTTGCAGGTACCATCTTTAGACAACATTACCCCAAAGTATTTAAAACTGGACACTTCCTCCAGTGAGTTCCCATTCATGGTAATGTTGACACAGGTGTTACTGTTTGTGCTATTTACCATTACTTAGGATTTCTCGGTGCTGACCTCCATTCTATATGCTCCTGCTCTTTCAAAAGGTTTGTTGGTCAAGTCCTGTAGCTTACTATTACTACCCAATATGAGGTCAATGTTGTCTGGAAAGCGTAGGTTAAAGATGCGTCTACCACGGATAGAGATAGAAGGATCATGATCATTCAGGGTTACTTGTATGATTCTCTCTAAAAATAGGTTGAACAATGTGAGCAAAAGTATGCATCCCTGTTGCATGCCGACAGTTGCCCATAAGAATCCCCCTCCCATTTGTTTTCCCAGAATATATGAATGTGACCTATTGTTTTCATTTAAGAAAATTAAATTTCTATTACACTTTATTGTAATCATATTTATTTGTAATCATTCAGACAGCCCACAATATTTCCTTACCAAGCTGGGCCAATTCCACTGTGATGCAAAAGTTAAAAGAAATCCAAGAATTCAAAATGGAAGCCTATTTCTATTTGCCAGAAATGAAAATTTTGAAAGGAGGTCAGTATTCATTTTACATTATGATTTTTAGTAATTAATTTCTGACCACTGACAATCTCTTCTTTTTCTCTGATTTTCAATGTACTTCTATATTATAAGAATCATTGACATTATACATATAAGAGCTCCATTCAGTCACTAATGGCTGCATCTTCCAGATTTTTCAATATTACAAACTGAAATTTTTAACTTGGTAAAAAAAAAAAAAATCATATATAAGAAACAATTTATGTAAAGAATTAAGTAGCAATGTTAATGTGATTAATGTCAAAATCATTTCGCCAACAGGACTTAATGAGACATTAACTTACTATCAATTCCTTGAATAATAAGATCCTTATATTCAAGTTGTTAGATGGAAGGTAGATGCTAAGTATTTTTGACAATTTCAAATTGTCATCTTCAGAGAGCAATATTTTATATATATATATATATATATATATATATATATATATATATATAGGCAAATACTAAGACAAAATATGCTATTTATTGACAGTTGAATATATATTTTGGTGTGTGTGATGTCACAACACTAGAGTTCTTGTTCAAATTGATCAAGTAAGAATTTTTGTTTGAAGACATTTTTACTCTACTAATTAGATTAATTTCACTTTAACAGATAAATACATATAACAAGAAAATTTTGTAGATTTCTAATTTTTCAAAATGAAATTTGAATTCGAATATAAGGATCTTATTCAAGGAATTGATAGTAAGTTAATGTTTCATTAAGTCTTGTTAGAAAAGTGATTTTGCCATTAATCACGTTAACATTGCTACTTAATTTGTATAAATTGTTTCTTTGATATAAAATATAAGCTGTACACTTACAAACTGTACAGGTTTTTTTAGGAGTGTGGAACCACCTCTTAACTACTGGTGTTCCCAGGTCCACCCTGACCCGGGGTGGTAGCACCTGTTAGGGTCCCAGCTATTTACAAATAGTTATCCCCCAAACTGGAGTCAGAATACTATGAAAGTTATAAAAATAGGTTTTAATACCAGAACTACTCTGTAAAAATTATTACCAGCAATAAATTTTTGAAGGAAAAAATTATCAGCAGCAATACTTTTTTGAAGAAAATCTTACCAGCTATAAATTTTTTTTTGTTTTGAAAAAAATATTACCAGCAATACATTATTTGGGGAAAAAAAAATATTACCACCAATAAAAATTTTGCCAGTATTAAATAGCCTATTAAGGTTGATATGCTGTAAAATAAAACAAACCAAACTCTCAAAGGTATGGTATCCTAATAAAAACTACCAACCACAAGATATATCATCTTTATTGTTTTGCCATCAAGGCTACAACCACAAGATTTTTTCATTGATTTTAACGCAAATAACTGTTACCTGGCATCTAAAGCAGGAATGAAAAATCATACAGACAACTAAAAACAGACTTTTTATGGGATACATTTGTTGAAAATATAACACATAAATGAAGCATTTGAAGCAGAAGTGTCTAATATCGAAACTAGTTGCTTGAATTTTTTATCTTGTGCTTGGCATTTCCTGATACATTTTCACCTGCAAATGCCAATGAGTTTATTTACAGTACTTTTAATGTAAAAACAATAAGATTTCAGTTGAAGCTATAAATCAACTCATAAAAATTTATTACCTAAGTTGGCTATTATAAAGTTGGTGTTTAAAGTCAGATTTCACAATTGACCTCTAGCAGTAAAATATTAAAATTATAATTAAACGTATAGTTACCATATTAAAATTAAATTAAATATTATCCCAAAGCTAGGAACAAGTTCTGTCTTGGTGTTGCTACTATCACATACTGAAAGGAAAGCAGGAAAAATCAGAAGGAACAGGAAGTGTCTCATTCTTATAGCTCTTAAGTATCACCAAATAAGGAATAATTCCTCAGTGTGAAAACAATGTTAAGACTTTAGTTGAAGATATAAATCAACTCCTAAAAAAGTTTTTATTGCCTAAGTTGGCTATTATAAAGTTGGCATTTGAAGTCAGATTTTGTAATTGGCCTATGGCAGTTAAGGTGTTCATAATTGAAGTGTGCAAGCACATATATGCCCAAATAGATCAAAATAAATATTAATTTCCTAAATATTTTAATGGTGCTTTTATTATGCAACAAACAACTTGAAATGACAACAAAGTTAAAACATTTTGATTTCAGGATGGTTTAAAACTTTGTCAGGATGATGATGGCGGTGATGGAGCTCTTGTTTGTCAAATGTTCATTTATATCAACATTTAATTAAAAAAGGTTTAATTAACCCTTACCATGCTAATTTCTTTCTATAATTGTTCCCCCTTCTACTGCATTTTTTTTTTTTAAAAAACATGCAATACAACTCACAAGCTTTTCATCAACCAGTCAATTACATTATATTTCAATCAGCAATCTCATCAATGTGCACTAAAAGCTGAGGCCATCTTGGGTATGACAAACTACATCCGCGTCCTGGGTAATACAATAAGCTATGTCCAATAGCAAGGCCTCTGATCAGGAGGTTTTAAGGAGTGTGGAACCACCTCTTAATTGCTGGTGTTCCCAGGTCCACCCTGACCAAGGGTGGTAACACCTGTTAGGGTCCCAGCTATGGGTAAATAGTTAACCCCCAAATTGTGGCCAAAACACTATGAAAGTGTAAAAATAGGTTTTAATACCAGAAATACTTTGTAAAAAATTATTACTAGCAATACCTTCTTACCAGCTATACATTTTTTGAAAAAATATTATCAGTGATACATTTTTGAAGAAGAAAAATATTATCAGCAAGAAAAATTGTCGGCATTAAATAACCCATCGAGGTTGATATGCTGTAAAACAAACCAAACCAAATAAAAGCTGAGCAAGGGCCCACTGCACACTCACAAGGTAACAAGATGAAAGATAAATGCCATGATGAGAAATTAGAATGTAAACGCTGTTTCCTGTATTATATGTAGATGTTTTATGCAGGGCTTCACCTGAGTATGTAGGTAGGTAGGTAGGTAGGTAGTACGGACGGACTATATAAGTTCAGCTATGTGGATCTCAGAGATCAACTCTTCCCCTTACCAACTTCTCACCAATCTATACGTCCTGATGTATGGTTGGCAATACAAATGAGTAGCATTGGAGTCACATGATGCACAAGTTTCACTCCAAAGGTGGACCAGAACTGCAATCACAAGCATGACTGTTAATATAGACCTGCACTCAGATATACCCTATTTCTTGATTAGAAATACAGGTATCTAAAGCAACCAATGGAGTTTATACAATATGATCGTGTACAAAAAATCTGTAGTTGAATACAATATAAATCTTATGCAATTTAAAACTGTTTTGGTTTTAAATGACCCATGAGGGGTTGATAAGCCACAAAACAAAACAACCAAACAACTATTTCTGGTTTTGTTGTAACTTATCATCAAAAAAATCCCTCATCTACTCCTTTACTTTCCCCTTTGGTTAAAGTGGATGCTGCTTAGAATACTAGGCTTCAAAAAGAACCACCTACCTATCAAGATAGGAACCACATCTTCCTTTTCTATGTGGATGTCCATAGTATCACATTTGTAATAACCTGTTCAAGGTGAACTAAAAAGGATGTTAAACACTTGGTGTAGATGGGGAAGTGCCTTTATTCTGCTAGTATGATAGAATATCCCATTAAAAATTTGCAATTGTGATAAAACCATCACTTTAAGCTGTCTGAATACCATTTCTTTCAAGTTGGAGGCAAGAAGTATGCTTAAGAATTTAAAATTTTTCTTTATCATCCTCTTATAGTTGTGCTTCTCCCTCCCTTCATTAGTTTGTGCAACCATTACTTCCTATCAGTACCTTATAAATAATGGACTATTGCATGTTTCTTTGCATAGAAAGAGGGAAAAAGTCATTACTTGATTTGAGTGAGCAAATGAAAAAAGAAGGGAAGATAAAAGTGGAGAGAAAGAATCAGATTAAGCTGATAAGAACAGATACTACACTGCTATCAACCAAGAGGCTAAGAAGTGATGGTGACTGTGATAAAAGGAGAAAAGACACTACTTGGTTTCAGTGAGAAAATGAAAAAGAGGGAAGATAGAAGTATTTACTGGCTGTTTCAGTGGCATGGAAAAAGTTGTCAATTTTCAAATCTTTTCATTTGTACCCACTTCTTAAAATAACGACCAGCATTCATATTTATGATTGTTATTGCAATATTTTGTTAAATTTAAGCTGAAATACGTAACGATGTGATAGGGGAATTTCTATGAGTAATTTATTGTAGAATTTACCATAAACTTATTCAATCATTAATTTAAGAGTTAAGGTTTATCAGACTATTAAAATAGAAAAATCCTGAAATTTTAACTGGTTAAAAAGTAGTCCTTATTATCTCTTCCTCATAGTTCAGTACATTTACCTCGCACAAGTTTGTCTCTGATCCTAAGTTGAAGAAGACACCTACTATACTTGGTTTGAGTGAGCAAATGAAAAAAGAAAGAAGGGAAGATAAAAGTGGAGAGAAAGAATCAGATTAAGCTGATAAGAACAGATACTACACTGCTATCAGCCAAAAGGCTAAGATGTGATGGTGATTGTGATAAAAGGGGAAAAGACACTACTTGGTTTCAGTGAGAAAATGAAAGAAAGAGGGAAAGATAAAAGTGGGGAGAGAGAAAGAATCAGATTAAACTGATAAGATACTACACTTTGATCTCAGCCAAAAGCCTGAGAAGTAAAGGCAACTGCGAGATAAAAGTGCCATTTTTCAAATGCAGAGTATCAAATGAGGGGAAACCACAATCACTAAAAAAAATCCGATTACAATAAATAAAATAACATTGTCTCCTGAAATATTTTTAAATTATTAAGAGAAATGTTTGTAAAAATGGAGATTTGGCTAGAAAGAAAGAATAAATAAGTGTTTAACGTCTCCTGTCGATACCTTGTAAAAGATGGACTATCCCTGTTTTGATCACATGGAAAGAGGGAAAAAGATGCTACTTGATTTCATTGAGAAAATCAAAGAAAGTTGGTAAGATAGGAGTGCTTTTGAATATATCAGTAAAATGGAAAAAGTTGTCAATTTCAAATCTTCATTTGTACCCACTTCTTAAAATAACAACCAGCATTCATATTTATGTTTGTTATTGCAATATTTTGCTACAGTTTTTAAGGTCAAATAATTAAAAATATCAATAGAGGAATTTGTATGGCTATTTTATTGTCATAGAACTCACCATGAGCTTATTCAATCATTAAGAATTAAAATTCATCAGAATCTTAAAATAGAAAAACCATGAAAATTTTATAGGTCTTTTTAGTTCATTTTGTACTGGCCATTTGCTGCTCTCTGTTGTTGATTTGTTGTTTTCCCTAGCCAAAGGGAAGATCTGGTTCATTAGTCTGTTGTGAGAGAAGATAGAAGTAGCAAAGATGTCCCAAGTATCCACACCAGTGAGCACCAGATGAATCCAGGAATAACAACACCTGTATAGTGAAAACAGTAACTTGCGCTTTCTTTTCTTGCCATGACAATATTTCACCTTTGGTTCCTTCATTGAAAATACACTGACCTTCACCAGGTTTTGTTCCCAGCAACACAGGTAGGAATCAAAACATTGTGGTGCGAAACTGCCGAGTCAATGAAAAACTCTGACGGACACAAGCAAATATTTACATCCTTCCTGCTAGAATTTTCCTGACAACGTCTTTTCTAATTTCAGGTGTTTTTCTTGGAGAGATGATTGAAAATACAGCCCTGAAAGTTACAGAACCAGAGATTCTGCAAAAAATGTACATGTATTCAGCCGTAAGCAGAACTTTGCTTTTATTTATCAAATTAGCTAAAGTCCTTTCCTTTGTGTTTCTTTGGTTCAATTACAACAGACACAACAGCACATCTTACTGATCTTCACTTGTATAACAAATTCAGCTACTATTGGGTATCTTGCTACCGTAGACTTGTATCAAACTAGGCCTTATCAGTAATTATCTGGACTGGAGCTGCCCATTCCTCACTTTGCAATCTTGAGTTCAAAAACGTCTATTTGGCTTTGTGGGTGATGAATTGTTGAATTGCTTCCACCTCTACAACCCACTGATGTGGATGATGCTCCTACACCTGTATGATAAACAAAAACAACTGATAATGAAAGAAGACAACGATATGCACATGCATTATCAACGAAATACCACATAGATCAACTAAAATTATGATACACAAACACAAAAAGATTATGTGCATGAACAATACCAAACAAGACAAATACAAGTGAGGTCTACTTAACCAATGAAAAACAAAACAAAACCCATCTTTGAGTAGATGCTCTGTTTTTATTTAAACAGTATATTTAATTATTTTCATCTACCCGACTGAATGTTTGCCTGCCCCCCATAAAAGAAAAATAACGTTTAAAACAATAGAATAAAAATCTGTTGGAATAATAAATAAATAAATCCATTCCTAAAAGTTGTCTTTGTTTATATTAGGATACAAACTAAGCAGAGACACATGTTTTGAGAATTTATAAAAATCTGTGTTCAAAAGCACTATTCGCACTTTGCTTAGGCCAGTAGGTTCTTTGTAGCTGAGTGGTTAAAGCATGTCAGATTTAATGATGGTTTCCCCTCGAGAGATGCAGGTTCGAATCCTGGCAGAGAATGTATGTTTTTCTAACAAGATTTTTTGAATATTCAGACAGGTAGATGGAAATAAATATACTGTTTAATAAATAAATAAAAACAGAGCATCTACTCAAATATGGGTATCGATTGGGGGGGAGTTTAAACAATGAAATCATATATACATATTAACCCCCAAACTGGGCTCAAAATACTATGAAAGTGTAAAAATAGGTTTTAATACCAGAAATACTTTGTAAAATATTATTACTAGCAATACCTTGTTACTAGCTATACATTTTTGAAAAAATATTACCAGTCATACATTTTTGAAGGAAAAATTAATACACATGAACACTACCAAATATATATATAGAACAAATAGGAAACTTATATCAATCTAACATGTTTCACTTTTATTAAAGCTTTGTCAGAGATTGATAGAAAACAGTCTGTTTTCTGTCAATCTCTGACGAAGCTTGGATAAAAGTGAAACCTGTTAAATTGATATATATTTCCCATTTGTTCTTTTATTTTATCATCCTGTCGGATCTGATCCATCTTTTGATCTGCGTTTGATTGCCTTGTTTCTCGATAATTCTACTCAATTTGACTAAATCTTAAACAACTCCACTACTGACATCTGTGGGTTTAAGAAAACTGAGGGGAAAAAAAAGAACATAAAATGAAACAAAAATACTTACTAAGTACATTATTTTATACAGTCATCAAGAATCCAACTAATTCTACTAATTTAACTACATTGAAATTTTTTTATTTCATTTCAAGCAAGGCAATAATTCCCCTAAGATGCAAGTGGTTACTGAGTGTTAGAGAACGTGAAAAAAAAAACACTATTAAGGGGAGAGAACAATAAAAGAACAAGAATTAAGAAGACAGAAAATAATAATTGATGTTGCATTTCAATTTTAGAAGATCAAAGTTGACAGGAAAGCAAATGTGATAGAAGAAACAGCTTAGAACTTACAGTTACATCTCACCATTTCTGCTGTAAAATAATGAGACTTTTCCGCCAATCTAGTACTGTGCTTGAATTCATAAAGTCGAAGTGAAGGTTCATCAAAATAATTGTCATGAAAGTATTTATAAAAAGACACAGGGAAGCTACCTTATGCCAAGTCAGGACCAATAACATTGCAGATACTTCTTTCAATTTTATCAAGAATCTCTAAATATATTGCAGGAGTAACAGACCAGATGTGGCAACAATATTTAAAGCAAGGATGAATGGTCAACTTTTAATACCAGTCAATAAGATATGCATAGTTAAATTTTGATCTGACCTTCTCAATGTATAATGTTCATTCACTGTAATTAATATTCACCACAGAATTAAGTTTATTTGATAAGTTAAAATAAACATTTGCTATGTAAAATAAAAAGAAACCAACTTTAAAGTTTATCATGTCGCTGTAAGTTCTGTGCTGATAGTTTCTTTGCCGATACTTCATGTTTGTAAAACTATTATAGTTTCTTGCTTTCCTGTCACTTATAATCTTCAGAAATTTAAATGCAACATCAGTTGTCATCTTTCTCGTTGAATCCTCTTCTTTTTATTGTCCTTTCTCCTCAGTAACATTACTTCAGTTTCCTTCTTCCTTTCCTGTCAACTACAATCTTCAGAAATTTAAATGCAATGTCAATTGTCATCTGTCTCCTTGAATCCTATACTTTTAATGATCTCTCCATTTCTTTCCCTCACAGTAACTTCCTTGCATCTTAGTGGATTTTATTGCTTTCTTTCGAGTGAAATGACAAATCACCAAATTTTAAATCTTTTTTTCTTTTTCTTCAGCATGATTCAACACTTGTTGCTTTTATGCTTTCTTTGAACGTCTTCAACCACATGATAGTTCCGTATGCTTCTTGCGTTATGGTCGAGCTACACAGGCAAGCAGGAAACTTGTATTTTGTGCAGGTTTTGTACAAGAATTCAACCTCAGAGGACACATTACACGTCCTTACAATACCAGGTGAGCATTTCTCTCCATTTAGCCTCTCTTATATGTCTTTCTGCATTTTATATCAACAACATTTTCTTTTTATCTACCTATATTTATATACGTTACAGATTAAACTAAGAACAACTAACTATTAAAGGATTGAAAATTTTCATGAATTTTGACGTCATTTTCTTTTTTTTTAAATTCTCAAAAAAACTCTATGTAAAATTTGCTATTTTTTATCTATAATCTCGAATATGTTAAAATTATTCAACTTTTTAACACGAAAAACCAAGTTGATGTTAAAAATTGCTGCAAAGCATTATTTAAGTTAGAATGATCCATTATGACATGTCCTTAATTTGTATGGAATGATCTATTATGACATGTCCTTAATTTGTATGGAATGATCTATTATGACATGTCCTTAATTTGTATGGAATGATCTATTATGACATGTCCTTAATTTGCATGGAATGATCTATTATGACATGTCCTTAATTTGCATGGAATGATCTATTATGACATGTCCTTAATTTGCATGGAGTGATCTATTATGACATGTCTCTAATTTGTATTTAGATTGTATTTATTTTCAATCTTTCAAGTTGAATTGTTCACCTATATTGCATATGATCTATTAGTGTACATAATTAGATTACAATAAAATTTGTATATTATGAATACTACCTTATGAAAATTGAGATTTAGTGGGGGGGGTCATAGATCAAGTGTTGTTGGGGGGCACAAGTCCCTAGCACTGGCTCTGATTCTACCATTCATCCTCACTTTGAATATTGCTGACACATTTGATCTGGTGCTCCTACTATACATTTAGAGATTCTTGATAAAATCAAAAGAAGAATCTGCAATGTTATTGGTCCTGACTTGGCATCTTGGCTTCAGTCACTTCCCCCACTGCCGTAACGTAGCTTCCCTCTGCATTTTTTTTTTATAAATACTTTCATGGTAATTGTTCTGATTAAAATTTCCTCTGCATTATTTTTATTTCCCACCCACAACAGACAAATTGTACATATGGGAACTATTTAGGACTTCATAGAGACTCTGAGGTATTGTGGTGGCTGTAGTAAGAATGGTAAGAAAGAATATGTTGTTTTGATCTAAGAAATACTGTGCTTATGTTTGTGTCAGTGATTAGAGCTAGCTAAGTCTAATTATAAGGCAGATGAAGACCAGATCCCGTCTTTGGCTTTTTGCCAAACTTTTTGTATTTAACAAAAATAAATATACTTTCCTCCATGGTACCCAGCCTTTAGGTATTTAAGCACAACTATTAAATTGGTGGCAACATCTCATTTTATAGTAAAATATTTATATGTAACCAGAAGTTCTATGCTAAAAGTTTTTTTTCTTCACCTTAATAGTATATTTTTCTCATATTCTCTAATCCCTGTGTCTTAGTGGCTTTATTACCTTGCTTGTGGTGAAATGAATAAGAAAAAAAAAAGACATTGCACTTAATGAATAATGAATTTTTACAAGAGTTATTTTCATTTTTTTAAATAGAATAATTTATAGTTTTAAAATCTTTTAAAATTCTGTTTCAGTGGTGTAATTGTTAGCGAATATTGTTCAGTAAAACTATATTTACTAATCATAAATTATAAAGCTTATTACAATTTATGGACCCATGTATTTGAAAAAGAATTTTACATTGTTTTGTATACGTGTAACACTATTTGGATTGCTGGTAATTAATAATAATAATGACTTGGGGAATCAATGAAAATGAGATAATGAATAACTTAGCATGAAAAGAGTTAAACAATATAAGGAAAGATAGACTGATAATAAAATTGTTCTCAAAGAATCAAAATATGTACAATGGACGAAATGACTGCTTGAAAGCAATTCTCAGTTTGTGCAAACAAATCGGCTGTTGACATCTTGTGACAACCAATGCCTGAATCTGACAAGAGAAGAATTGAGTTAAAGCTAAATGAATTCATTTCACAGGATGTCAGAATGAAAAACGATGAACTGAATACCTGCAGCTGAGCAATAAAAATTTCCCTGGGAAAGTGTCTCTTGGGTCAGAGGTGAGAAAGCCAAATGTGGTGTCAGTTCATTTGTAAGAAAAATACATTTGAAACCATATTTTTTTTATCAATCTCCGACCAAATGTTGGAGGTGACAGGCACAGAAGAGCAATCAAGAATGAGGGGATAATCAGCACCCACTGAAGGGTAGCAGGCACAGAGGAGACATTAAGGAGGTTTGAAGGAGCTGCTTACACCCACTGAAGAACAATAGTGAAAGATGGTACTAAGAGAAGGTGGGGACGGACAGCTGGGTGGAGCAATGCCTGCAACCACCATCACTCCCCATGAGAGAGAGAGAATTCCCCAAAATTATAAAACTAATTTGATTTCTCAAGACCAAAAAATAATAGACTTTTGTTGGAAATCAGGGGATTCACTGAAATCCAGCCTACATCTTGCCCCGCACCAGTTTTTAGTTGGGATCCATAAAAATGAATGTGCAAAAGCCATTCAAACAGTTCAGTTTGACTGTTGAGTTGAGCAGAATTGCGAGCTGACAGTCGAGAAGGGAAGCGACAGAGGTCACTGAGAGGTTCCACATTTCCTGCCAAAGACAAGAACCTCCAACTTCAGCCTTGAGCCAAACTTACCAAAACGGTAAAACAAATTTCGATAACTCTGAAGCCAAAAACTTACCAACTTACCCAAGTGTTGTGTCTGATTTAGGAATACGTTGGGTCGACAAACACCTGTATACGAACACGACTACTAACAAACCCTTGTACGCAGAATTGATATAAAGATAGTAATTATTTTTTATATATATTTCAAGAGCTGTTTTTTTATTTTTTTGGTTTTTCTTTTTTCCAATTTTATTGTATGACTTCGCTTGACTTGAGACCAGCTCAACATGAAGGTACCTGTGACAAATCAATCTTGGCCTCCTTATAATCAAAGTAATCACAACATGGGGTAAGGCAAGTCAGGATTGATTGATCAAACCAGGAAGTGTTGTGAACCATAGATCAATCAAGGTGTTACATTTGGTTTGCTGTAAGCCAGGATTAAGTTGAAGTATTACATGTGTATTAAGATGTCTTTTTTTGTATATATGGCTGTTCATAAACATTATCAGAAAATAAGTGATAGCTACACTAAATTTAATGTCAAAATTCAATAAACATTAGATTACAGAGAATATTCTCTTAAATTTTTAAGATTTTTTTTCACAGAGCTGTCAGCATAAATAAACAGCTAATAGCATGTTAAAAAAAATGCATTTCTGAGATATTTTAAACTTATTTCTTTCAAACAAGATTAATTATCCTTTAAATCAACTAGTATTACTGAAATGAAGTTTAAGAAAAGTATATTCTATTTTTGGAAGATTTTTTTTTTTTTTTTTTAATTAAGAGAATTACATTTTTATAACAGTTTGCTGAATATGGTAATAAGTTGAAAAATTTTAGAAATTTCAAAATGAAAACTCCTTCCAATGAATTTAAATTAGTTTTTGTTATAGACAAGCGTATGGTTGCAAGAAAGAAATACGACAACAGCAGAAATAGATTTACGTGGTTTATTTCAATAGGAACTGTGGTTTTGGGACAGCTACCTTGTGGTATAGTTCATAAGCCGACTGAAGATCTGGGTTGATCTCTCATAGTAGTTCTCACTGGTTGGTGTAGTGCTGCTGTTGCTGGCTGCTGCTGACTGCTCAGACTGACCGTGATAGGTCTCTCCCCTGGCCTTTTGATGACCCTTTATGTCGTTTTTTTATGGCTTGACAGGCTCGTAAAACGACGCGAGTATAATTAGGAGGGAAGCATTTTTATTGGTCGAAAAATAGAAACACTTTAAAATATTATTTTATTTTTTGACCGAACTCGTGCGTCAGGAATATCGTAAACGCGTAAATATGGTCATTTTGTGACGGGCCTTGTCCTGTTCATCCGTTCTCGCTCTTGAGTATGTTAGTTTATTTGCCTGCAAATCAGCTGAGATATGTCTTATTTTATTTTATAACATTTTGAAATGCAGTATAGTATTTTGTTTATTGGAAATATTAAATTTAATCTATCAGCTTGAAATTAAAACTAAAAAAAAAAGCTTCGAGAAAAATTTATATTTTCATTTTAAACCTTACGTATCATTTTTTTTTTTTTTTTGTGGAAATCCCTACTTTAAAGAGATTGATCTCTTTTTTGCTTTAACAAAAATCATGGGTATGTACTTGTATGTATGTATGTATGTGTTTGTTTAGGAAAATCATTGTTATTCTCAAAAGCAATTCTTAATGCAATGTTCCCTTGAAAAAAAAAAAAAGAATTCTTTTTACAATGCAAAATAGGTTTCAGCTTTAAATAACACACAAAGGGTTGATAAAACCATAAAACAATCAATATTTTCAATTCTGAGGAGGAGATGGATTTTTCCTTTATAGTCTTTCCCATAATTGTTGAAGAGGCAATGTTTATATTTGGTGTTATTTCTTTGTTTACAGGTTGCCAAGCCAGATGTCCTTGGGAGAAATTCCTTGAACTGACAAAGAATTCTGTCCCCACAGATATTGAAAAGGAATGTCAAATCAAAGAAGAAACTAACTGTAAATATTGGGATAAATTTTTATAAATAATTTTCTTTATTGACATATATATGCCAACCACCTATCCTTTATTATTATTATTATTATTATTATTATTATTTGTATATTACAAGTTAGGTTTGAGTTATGTATACACCCCTCCCCCCCTTCTTTTTTTAAATCAATTCATCCTAAACAAGGCAGTAATGCCACTAAGACACAAGGATCTACTGGAAGGGAAAGAGAAGGAAAAGACTTTAGAACAGGATTTCCTAACGTTTTTGGCATCATTGCCCACTTTCACATGGAAACATTTTCCACTACCCACCTGTATAGTAAATATTAAAAAAAATACCAAGATAGTTTGGTAAAAGTTTGTTACTGTTTCGTAAACTGATTTTATGATGTATAAGCAAAATACCAAAGGAGTAAAACAAATGCAACTGCTGCTACCATATTAAAGAACAAAAGAAAGCAAATTTGAACATTGAAAACTGTCTATAATTTAGTTTTATTGTTAAGGTTAGCATTTCAAATGGAGAAATTTAAATGATTTATGTTCATAATTATAAAATTAAAAAGAATATACACTACTAGCAACTAATAAAAATTCTGCAACTATTTTTTTTGTTGTTCTTGATCTTATTGATAAAATATTATGTCTGAAGACCTATTGAATTTTAATGACCCTTCTCAAAACTATAGAAAATATCAAAATATTCCTTGTTTACAGATATATTTATGTCTTCGAATGTGATCCAGTTATTTACATTTAGCCTCCTATTTTTTTTGCATATATCATTTGGATATTATTTTCATGTAGCATATGTTGAATTACCTTTTTAATACTCGAAAATATCGCACACAAAAATGTCTGGTCTCCATTATTTTTTGTTCAGTTACTCATCACCCACCCAGCAGTTAAAATCTCCCACCGGTGGGTGATATTGCCCAGGCTGGGAAACCCTGCTTTAGAAGGAACCAGAAATCCATTAATAGTATAAATTTCAGAGTTTAGGCAGAGACATTAGAAGTATGGAGTTGAAGTTTAGAAGGAAAAGGAAACCCAATCCTAAACGGAGACAAGAGATAAACCTCTACTCCTCTTCAAAAGACAGTGGAACAGACATTAGAGTTGAAGTAGACTTTACAAGGAAGAAGGGATAGACCTCTACTCCTGTTCAAAAGACCAGGGAGGAGATGTTAGAAGTATACAGTTGAAGTAGACTTTAGAAGGAACTGGAATCCCAATCCTAAACAAGAAACAAGGGTTAAACTTCTACTACTGTTCAAAAGACCAAAGAGGAGTGTGAACCGGATAATAGATAAACCTATACTAATTTACACTTGCTGTCAAAAATGAAAATGTATAAGTACAATGAAATATTTTTGCAGTCGTACAAATTTTTATTAGATTAATAAAAACACTTATTAAAATGTCATTCATAGAAAAAAAAGTGGATCAACAAAAATACATATTACCATGAAATGGTAATGCCAAAATATAATAATGGTTAAAAACAAGCTAAACTGATTTATCAGTCCTCTCTCGTCAGAAGAAAATTCAAAGACAAAAAATAGTGCACAGAGACTAAAAAATAATACAACCCCAGACAAATGTTATATGCAAAGAAAAAAAAACCCATTAAAGACTAAATACTTTTAAGCCCACCAACCACTGCTTTTGCTGACAGAGAGATGGCTGATAGGACTTAATGTACAATGATTTGTAAATTCCCAAATTGTTGTTTTTATTCACCCTATGAATTTCATGTCTCTTTCTGATTGTAAGTATACATTTACTTGTTGTCCCTATTTTCTTATTGTTTCCTATTTATTTCAAGTGTAAAATTCCATAAACTCGCAGAAGAAACTTCCAAATATGAAGAAGAAATCATTGAAAAATGTGTAAAGTTCTGTGAATTTCCTCTTTAATGTCACATTCATGTTTTGGCTGTTGTACACTCTGGTCTTCTTCAAGTGATATTTGTTCAAATTTTGAATTAAACCCTTTTAGTTCATGGGGGTTGATTGTTCTAATTCCATGTACCATGTTTTTGGATATCTCAGTTTTAGTTAATTTGCTGAGGCCAGGGACTGAACTCACAACTCTTTGGGTCAAGTTACTTTTAGGATTTATGGAATCAAAAATTTAAAAAATAATATATGTAAATTTATGCATAATTCAGAAAAACTGCCCAAGTTTTGAAACACAGGATTATTATTTACACTATTTATATTCAGACTATTGTCTTCGTCTTTGTTGTCGTTATGACGTTTCAGCTGTTGCACTCTCTGGCCTTCATCAGGTGTATATCGATATGGTTAACTTATAGGGAATTCTGAATTGAATCCATTATTTAATCTATGAGGGTAGCCTAGTAGATTAAAACATTGGTTTGAGAATTTAGTTACATAGAGATTTGTGAGTTCAATCCCTGGGCTGGGCAGTGGAAACAGGAAAGCATTAACTGAATATTATAAATAAGAACCAAATGATATCTTCTAGATATGAAGAGTGAAACGAGAACAGTCAAAACCTCATACGTTAAACAAAAGGGTTCAGTTCAGATTTCCCTGTAGGTTTTTTATTTTTTTTACTCCAAGCAAGGCAGTAAAGTGACTAAGACACAAGGGGTTAGTGGGTGTGGAAGAATTAGAGAACAAACATTATTAATGAGCAAGAACTAAAGAGTAATCAGGAAGACAGTAGATGGTGATTGACATTGCATTTAAATTTTTGAAGATTAAAATTTACTGGAAAGCAAGGAGCTGGAAGTTCCACAAGTGAGAAGTGTGAGAAAAGAAACTGTTAGCATAGAACTTACAGTTACATCTAACCAACTCCTGCATCAATAGTAAGGCTGATCACTCAGACAAGGTGAAAATGGCAGCCAATGTCCAAAACAACTTCAAGTCCGTTATTAACTGGGACAAAAGATGGCCTGTTAATTTTAATGCCTCCAAAACTAAGCTTCTCCCCATTAATCATCAGAGAGGCCCCTCTCTGCCTTCCATAAGCATGGCTGATGCTATCCTCCAAGAAAGTGTCTTGTGCCTTTTTAGGCTCACGTCCCCAGCTGACGAGGTGGAAAGACTACATTGAATCCATCACTAGATCAGCTGCTAAGAAAGTCAGTTCACTGTGTCAGGCGAGACAATTTTTCTCTCCAGAATCTATGTTGCATATCTATGTCTACCATTCGTCCATGCTTAGAATATTGGTGCCATATATGGTCTCTGTGTCTTTTTTTTTTTTTATAAATACTTTCATAGTAATTGTGTGGATGAGCTCTTCACTATGGTACCTAGACTGTATGGATTTAAATGCAATACTAGACTGGCAGCAAGATTTCATCAATTTATAGTTGATCTAGCTAGATGTAGCCATGCTGACAGTTTCTTGCACTTCATGCTTGTCTAACTGCATCCTGGCTCCATGCTTTCCAGCCAATTTTAATCTGCAAAAGTCTAAATGCAATGTCAATCACTATCTACTGTCCTCCTGATTGCTCTTTTCTCTTTCTTCACCTTACTAATGCTTCTGTTCCTAATTCGTCCACACCCTGTAACCCAATTTAAAGAAAAATTAAATCAACTGTAACAATATACACCTGAAGAAAACCGGAGAGCACAATGGCCAAAATGTATTAACAAAGATTTGGACAATAGTCGAAATATAAATAGTGTAAATAATGATAACTCCTCATCCCAGAAATTCAGACCGAAAATACAGTATTATTCATTAAAGTATACAATCCATGACTTGCAGGATCTTAGAGTAGATTATCATGGCTTTTACAGCCATCTAGCTCAATTGATTAAATCTCCAAATAAAAAATAAGGTTATTTTTATGCAAACAAAATTGAAAATATCAATTGAAGATATCCATAGTTATCTCCCTTAGTAAATGAGTAAATTTACTTTATATCCATCAGTATTAAGATGTTCATATTTCTCTTCATATTAACACACCATTTTGATTGATATATTCTCCAACCCTCTCCAGGTATAATCCATGATAAAAAGGAAACCTCTTATCTTCACAAACCAACAGTCTGCCAAACTGTTTTATTTTCATGGGACCAAGTTTGAAGATGATTCCAAAGTGCACCAATTTTGCTTGAAAATGAAAACCCACATAATGTTGAAATCTGTAGAAGTCCAACTCCTGCACCCAGTTGGTCGGCCATTACATGCTTCCCACTTCCTCAATCCTCATTGATGTTCTGTCAGTTATATCTGAACTTTATTCCTGGGGATTTAGTAATGGAGAATAGGGTCAACCAAACAAAGACCCAGTGTTGGTTGCATGTGGTTTAAGAACCCATGTCCCCTTCCAAATTGGCTGTTGAGAGGGTTCAATAGTCAGCATGGAATGGGAATGAGCAAAGGTATAAAACATTAGCTTTTTTCTCAGTCCAACTGATCTTAGTTTTTCCAGAAAAGTGTTGAATTTGAGTTTTGCATCAGAGTTGAAGTTTACTTTTACTTTACTTAGAGAACCACAAGACAAATACAGTTAACCAGTCTCCTTTATGGACCTGCAAGTTAATACCTGTTGATTCTTTCAATTTCCTCAATCTCCAGCGATGCTTCCTGTCAATGTTCTGAACTTTATGCCATAGCAAGTAATATATTAACACCAGAAAAAATACAGGAAAAGGATTTGAGTATTCACTGAATGTTAAGTATATATAAAATATAATTTTTTTCTTAAATATTATAGACAATGTTTCATTTCATATTTGATAGTATTTTCTATTTATGACTAACCAACATTCTCTTTATGGCTGGCATAACCCATGCTCTCTTTATGGCTGGCATAACCCATGCTCTCTTTATGGCTGGCATAACCCATGCTCTCTTCATGGCTGGCATAACCCAGCTCTCTTTTGGCTGGCATAACCCATGCTCTCTTTTACATAACCCATCTCTCTTCATGGCTGGCTTAACTGAGCTACCCTTGTGGCCAGCATTCCTTTTCACTTAACCTACAAATCCATTTTTGCTGGCTTAA